AGAAAATATTCTTGCACTTACACATGCATGCTAACTTCACAGTTATATTTACACTTATGATAGCAATCCCAAGAACTTTCAACCAAAATCCAAGTTTTGAAAGAAGTGTCAGGAACTGCACAAAAGAGCTCTCGTTTACAAGACAGAAACAACTAATTTGTCTATAATTAACAAAAGCATCTGGTCATGTATTTGCATATGAGTTCTAGCGTATTGCTTCATTTTAAACTTAGCTTCAGAAGTTAAACAACTTTCCTGCTGGTCTACAAACAATCTTATCATCCTTCCAAGTAAAGCAGCACAGTGCCAGAAAAGACAGATACTACTCCAGGCTTATTAATCCAGTGACAGAGGGCAAAAATGGAACTTGAACATATAACACAGTAGTTGGACTCAGCCAGACCGTGTCTTGGTATTTCTCCAAGAAATTCAACATCCACTCTTACAAGCATCAGTGTACAGAAAGACAATCAGACTGATTGCACTGCAATCAGACCTTCCAGAGTTATTTAAGTGCATCTTTAGAAGATACTTAGTCACAGTGCCTAGAAAACAAAGCTGTCAACAAGCACAGCTTTAGTAGCACTTCAGCTTCCCCCTAACAAGAGAAGATAGGAGGTGAAGACGAGCATATTTAGTAGCAAAATTGTCAGTTATACTGGTGTTTGATTTAAAAAAAAAATAAAAAAATAAAAAAATTTAGAGAGTAATTCTTCTAAGTACCAAAGTCCAAAAAGTCCACCAACTCCACTTTGTATTGTGGAAAAATTTTAATTTTGGTCACATTTTAATTTTGTTATTTAAAATAATTCTAACACACATTCTAATAGGCTCATGTTTCAACAAAAATTTCATTTCCTTAAATGAAGAAAAAAGTGCAATGCATTACTCAGAAGTAGCTTACCAGCCAACCAATACCTGTGTGACACTTGAGAAGTTTTATCCATCCAAACACAGCAATTGCCTCAATCTAGAATCGACATTATCAGAACAGTGAAGTGTGGTTTACCCCAGTGCTGTAGTGTGCGAAGGAGATAAGGAAATCTCAGCACAGCAACAAGAGTGTACACCTCCAGTGGCAGCATGTCAAAGTTCTCTTATCAGCAGTACAAGCGATAGAATGGCACCGATTTCACCTTAGCCCGTTACTAAATGCAGAATGTGCAGAAATTAATTCGTATGCTACACAGTGGCTAGACTCTAGCCCTTGCCAACAGAAAGCCTTTTGCATCCTGACCATATGGAATCCATTAGTATTCATGGCTTCGTGTGCCTTGTATCCACCTTTTGCTATCTGGCCAAAGGTCACCATCAGTTTATCAGTCAGCACATTCACCCTACAGACACCTGTACTTCTAACAGCTTGCACCCAGAAGAGAAGCAAGCCACATGAAGTGCCTTTGCTAACTGGTGTAGTTCAGCAGGAATATGTGAGCTTCCACTCACTATACAGAAGAGCACGTGCAGGCAGCACATCCACTTCTGGCATCCTCCAGTCTTAAGAGTTGCATTAGAGATCTATAAACTACAAAATACAGCTGTGCCATATTTCCATGGCGCACCTCAGTTAAAAGCTGCATCACTGGACAATTCCAGCCAGAATTCATAGAACCATCTGTCCTACCTCAGTTCAACTCTTTCTCCACAGGATAAACAGGACAAAATCCCATCTTTTGTCAGCGTAAAAGATGAACAGTTGAGATGTTCATACCTACACAGGAGTTCCAAAAAACATGAGGTATCTGATTCCAATGCTATGATCAGTTATGCCTGAAGTAGCATCATCTCAAGTCAGGAGGTGCTACTACAGTTCAAGCAGCACCTTGCTGAGCCTCAGAGTATTCTAAGCATAAAAGCACAACTCTACAGTTGCCTAAAAATTAAGCTAACAGAGCTGCTTTATCACCCATTTACCCTTCTTCCAGGCTATATGGGGCCTTACTTTTGCAAATGTTCTCAGCGTACACTGGTCATACACAAAGGAGTGACCCCCCACACAACTCAACTGTACCACTTCACTGTAGCAGAAGGGTCACAGTCTGAATAAGATTAGTTATCCATCTAGTGCTGTTCTACACTTTCCTCACCCAAAAGGATCCAAGTCTTTACTTCCTCCCTTGCAAGAGTATCAATTCCAAGAAAGAATGCAAAACAGACCAACTCTATTTAGCCAGGAAATTAAAGTTTGCTATCCAGAAAAGACAAAGCCTAAGCTCATTTCCACTCTGTAAAATGCACAAATGCATTTGCACGTTTTATGTGTGATAATTAAGCTTAAAAACAGACAGCACTAAGGGATTCTCACGGAAGGCGGATGTGCAAGTTGGCCTGTTCTCATATAAGGAAGGAACAGAATCCAGGTGCCCCATTTCTGGGTGAGGCTTTTCCAAATAAAAGCAGTTACAAAAAAAAATAATAAAGAAAAGGAATAAGATAGGAGGGCAAGGAACAAATATTTAGTCAACTTCCTCTTAAATTTTATCTAAGAACAGAAGACAGACCAGGATTCCTAGTGGTAGAGCCCAGTGATGGAACAATATAGGACTCGGAGCCTACTCTCCACATAAAACTTTCATCCTAAGCCAAGAGTTTGTCCTGTTTCATCACTAAAGCTAACTTTTAGGTACCCTAGACTTTTGCTAGATCCGACTTCCTGCATGTTTGAACACCAAGTAATATGACCAAGGATAAATTAAGATGGAAGAATTACACTGAAAGTAGAATCACACAATCATTACGGTAGGAAAAGACCTCTCAGATCACCTACTCCAACTACCTACCAGTCCCCACCACGCCCACTAATCATGTCCCTCAGAGCCACATCTACATATTGCTTGAATACCAAACAGGGAAAGTGACTCCACCACCTCCATGGGCAGCCTGTGCCACTGCACCACCACTCCTGTGGACAAGTTCTTTCTAGTAACCAACCTGAACCTGCCCTGCAAGGGAGCAGGGAAAGCTATCACACAGAACACTGCACCATGCAAATCAGAACATTATAGCTAGAGGCCTCTAACTTACTATCCTTAATGAAAAGCAGCATACTTCTGTCAATGTATTAGAAGACGTTTCACACCAAGCAGTCCTTCAAAAAGCTCTGGATTTTTGTATTTTTGCTAAAAAAATGAACACAGAAAAAATGTTAGCATGAAAAGACCATCTTTTTCCTCTTCTCAGATACTGTTACAACTCCTTGTCAGTCCGCTGTTCAGATCAGTAATGTATCAAAAGAGATGACACTGAAAAGTGTTTTAAGAATACCCGAGAACAGACAATGAGCTGAAGTAAGACAGGCAGATGACCACTGAATGCACAGTCCACATCTGGTAATGGATGAGAAATGCTATGACACTATTGCCACAGTTTATTCCCTCACAAAAATCAGGTGGCTCTTCATTGTAAAGTAGCACCGTGTTTGTTTTCACCTGTACTTTTCTGCAGTGCTCATCACCTTCTGAACAATTCACAGCAGTGCCTCACAAATGGATTGGCAAGCACTCCAGGAAGTGCCACAGTTGAAGAAAAAGTCCTTCCATGCACGAAGTTGCCACTAAGTGCCAGCCATAAAGGGAAAAAAAAGCAAAAACAATCACCAACAAATAGTTCCACTAATTCTAAGACAATTATCAATGCATACCATCCAACACGACCTACTTAACAGGTTCTACCCATCACAAACAATACACCCTATGAGTAGATGGCACTCAGCACATTGAAAGAGATAACCCATGTGCAAGCAAAGTGGTTTTTCCAGGCAGCATGCAACATCTACACTGCAAAGTAAGGTGTTCCTCACATATCATCAAACAAGTCCACAACTTCATTTAGCACAACCTGCCAACAAAGATAACAATGTAGACCTCTGTATGGACAAACCAACCAACAGAGCATCCAAGTTGGCAGTGTAGTGAGGAAAGCTACAAGCTCTGTACATCAACACTTCTGCAGGTCTTCCCAAGGTAAAACTCACCATCAGCACATCATTTCTCTCCAGGGGAGAAGCTGCTGCAAAGGAAACGCTTCTCTTTCCATGTGGCCCTTTTCCAGCACCTTCTGCTGAAAGTATGAGGACTGAAAGCATCATTATCTCTATTGTTAACACAATCAAAAACATAGAGACTCTAACAAACCCTCTGTGAGTGTGACAGAGCACTGGAACAGGCTGCCCAGAGAAGTTGTGGAGTCTCCTCTACAGACATCCAAGACCTGCCTGGACAATTCCCTGCGAAACCCTGTAGCGAACCCGCTTTAACAAGGGGTTGGACTGGATGATCTCCAGAGGTCCTTTTCCCTACCTATACGGTTGGACACGAACACAAAACGCAAAAAGGAGATGCCTGTGTCATCCACTCAGGCCTGGGCTGAAAGCACACGCACTGACCATGAGACTGACCATCTTGTGTATCAGAGGAGCAGGCGACAGCATGCTGCTCTGTGTGGCAGCCCTGCTGAGGGGGACCCTTGCCACAGGCTGCCTCAACACTCCACATCTTCAGCCCATGAGATGGAAGCGCTGCACGTTTTCTTTCACAGACTCAGCTCCTTCTTTGCTGAAGGTCACGTCACATCTCACTTCAACAGAGGGCAAGCTGATGCCTTAACGAGTCCAGATGAAGATGACTACAGGCACCAAATGCACCGCTGCTAGAGATACTCGCAGAAAGCATCCCTAAGCCCAGAGCGCACTCACGAGCAGCAGCAGCACACACACACACACACACCCCTCACCCGGCGGCGGCCCGCCCGGCCCCTGCGCACCCGGAGGCTCTGCGGTGCAGCCCGGCATCGCCCTGACAGCGCCCGCTGCAACAGGAAGTGCGGGCGCCACGCACCAACGCGCTCCGGGCACCTCGCGGGGCACTTCGCGGTACCACCGGGCCCCACGTTCACGGCTGGGGCTGCAGCCCGCGGGAGCCCGAGGGGCCGCATCCCCCCCCCCGTCCCGCACGCTCCGCCGGGTGCCGGTAGGGCTCGGCCCCCCTCGACCCGCTCCTTACCTGCCCGGTGATGCCGGTGATGAGAGCCACCTTCTTGTCGCCCATCTCCCCGCCGCCGCCGTCGTCGTCTCCCGGGGCCGCGGCTCCGGCACACGCTCCCGCCGCTGGCTGCGCCACGCTGCCGGCGGGGAAGGCGGCGGTCCAGGTGCGGAGGTAGCTCGGGGCGGAGGCGCGACCGCCGCCGCCCGAGGGCAGGGCCAGGGCGCCGGGGGCGGGCACCGAGATGAGGACGGCCGCCGCCCCGAGCGCGGCTCGCACATGGGTTGCCGGCACCCGGCGGCTATCTCTGCCCCGGGGGCATCGCCCCGCCCGCCGTTCCCGGCGCAGCCGTCCCGCCCTGAGGCGGCCGCAGGTGCGGCCCCAGCGCCGCCGCCGGCTCGGCCCCCGCCCGCGCGCGCGCTAACGGGGGGAACTGCGGGCGCGCGCCCCGTTTTTTTCCCACCCCTCCCCTCGCCTCGCCCCGCCCGGCTCCGCTCTGCAGCCAATCGGGAGCCTCGGCGCTTCCTTAAAGGGATAGGAGACGCCGGAGCGCCGCGGCCGAAGGCGAGTGCAGCGATTGGTTGGGAGCTGGCGAAGGGGCGTGGCTTGCGTAAGCTGCCGCCGCGGAGAAGCCGAGTCTCCGACTTCCTGACCGCGTGTCGCCAGGGGGCGGTGCCACGTGAGAGCGACGAGCGCGCCGCAGCCCCGCCCTCGTGCGCGGGCGAAACAGCGACCCCTGCGGCGCGGAGGAGCTGGCGGGCAGCGAGGGATTTAAGCCTTGCGTTGCTTTTGCCAGCCGCTTCGCTCCTGAGGAGCGCGGCTTGACCGAGCGGCCTGCGGGTGAGATACTGAATAAGTGTCCTCTTTCATTGATGCATTAATTTTTTTGTATCTAAAAACTAACAAGATAAAAAAGAGGCCTGGCTGTGTTTCTACATGAATCCCCAAAGTCTGTCAACCCAGGGTTTCCTTCTTATATGACTGCATTGCAGGACCTTTACATATCCAAACTGTGTTCTTATTTTACTCTTCTGCTATAGCTCATTGCAGGGCATGGCCAGCAATTACTCAGTGTCTCTGAAAGCCCATAAGATATATTAATCAGAACATGAGAAAGAGTTTGGGGGTATCATGCCTTTCAGCTTGAATCGAGCTCTGCAATCCTTAAGGCTTATCTGCACACTATCCCCACACGCTCCCAGTTTAAATCTTGCTGTTACAGTCTCCAATGGTGATGTAGGAGGATTGCAGTCACTGCACTAGCTTGCGTTGCCCTGATTACTCAGCTGCAAGATTTCATCCCATTGCATTGTTTCAGAACGTTGCTGAAACGTTCTGGATGTTGGGTGAAGCGAGAGCTAACTGTTTAAAATTATTTTTCAGATCTAATATAGAGTTACAGCATATCTTGAGCTGGAAGGAACCCACAAGGATCGAGTCCAACTCTTGGCTCCACACAGGGCCACGCAAAAATGAGTGATAACACATACCATGTTTATTGTGTCTTTGCTATTCTTGGAATTGAGAATGACATTTTTAGCAACTCAACATTAACACCATTACTATAGCACCAGGGCTTGTCATTAGAAACCCTTCACTTCATCTGATGCATTTGCTGCTGTTCTTACCTGCGTGTATCTGATAAGGAGAATTGGCAGCCTCCATCTCTGTGTAAGAGCAGAAAGTGCAGCAGGAGCTCACTGCTTCAAGTGGATGTTCAGACCAGATGAGACTTAAGTATGTCAGAATATGTCTTTGTGAAATAGGACAGCATCGATCTGCAGGCTTGGGGAATAGTGGCTGGCAAGACTGTGTGTAGAAATAGGATCTGAGGGTGTTGGTAACGCTCAGCTGAACATAAGCCATCAGGTAGCCAGGAAGGCCCATGGCATCCTGGCTTGCATCAAAAATACCATTGCCAGCTGGAGCAGGGAGGTGGTCATCCACTTTACTCAGGCCTGATGAGACCGCACCTTGAGTACTGTGTTCAGTTCTGGGCCCCTCACTACAGGAAAAATATCAAGGCTGTGGAGCATGTCCAAAGAAGGGTAATGAAGCTGGTGAGAGGTCTGGAGCACAAGTGTTATGGGAACAGCTGAGGGACCTGCAATTAGTCAGTCCAGAGAAGAGGATGCTCAGGGGAGACCTTATCACTCTCTACGGCTGCCTGAAGGGAGGTTGTACTGAGGTAGAGTTGGCTCTTCTCCCATGTAACTGTGATTGGATGAAAGGTAATACCTTCAGGCTGCATAAGGGGAGGTTCAGATTGGATATGAAGAAAAAAACTTCTCAGAAAGAGTGGTGAGGCAGTGGCACAGGCTGCCCAGGGGAGTGGTGGAGTCACCGTCTCCGGAGGTGTTCAAGGAACACGTGCATATGGCACTGAGGGACATGGTTAGTGGGCATGGTGGGAATGGGTTGGACACTGGACTAGATATCTTAGAGGTCTTTTCCAACCTTAATGATTCCATGATTCTGCAATTAAGAAAGAGGAGAGACTAAAGGAAAATATTATCAAAGCTACAGAGAGAATTCTGCAATAAACCAAAAATCAGACAGTTGTCTCTTATACTCACTACGCTAGCTGTTCTCAGGGGTCCTAATTTCTGTGCAGAACAAGAATTTTCCCAGACATAGGCAGTTTTATAAAGTTGGCAACATTGTCTTCTACTTCTTCAAACTGATTTCATTCCACTAATGATTGCTGAATATGGGTATATAATTACAGATTTGAAAAACAAGAAACACTACAAATAGTAGAAATTATGCCCTCTTAGCTTTAAGATGACATTGAATACATAAAAAGACATAAAATTCCAAGAGCCATAGAACTCCTTATGTTAGAAGTAAGGCACAAAACTTGTTTTTATTTAGCAATTTAGGATTTGACATTGGAGAAAATTAGAAGCAAGTTTTCTTTTTTAAATAGATAATTCCATCTCCTCCTAGATCAGAGCTTTGTAAAGCAGAGGATGAGCTACATTCAAAAATGTCCTTTTTATGGCAAGAAAAGGCCATCATTTTTATCTTTTGTTGGCAGTCTGTTAAATGCACTCCAAAGCAAAGTTGGTCTTCTTTCTGTATGCTTTCTGTATGCTTCTCAACAAATCAGTGAGAGGTGCTGACAGTGCAGGGCCTGAAGCTGGGCTAGGTCAGGAGCTCCCATCACTCAGCTTTCATGTGCATTTGAGAGGCTTTTTTTGGTCACTCTCCAAACAGAATTTTGTCTACCCCTGTTTGTCCAAGAACCCACAAGACCTGTTTTTCAAACGTGGCATTTTTCTTGACTTAATCTCCAAAGCACTCCACCAAAGGAGGGAGCCTGCTCACACCTTTCATAACTCAGATGATTAATCAATTACACTGGTTGAAAGATTACCTTGAGCCATATCTGTACTCTTAGGTGACAAGTACTCTGGGCTCTTCCTCTGCTGCACTTGCACTCCTCACAGAGTGAGGAGATTCAGGATGAAATATGCCAATTTGCATTACTTTTGTAAGGAGAGCATCTCAGTCAGACTGTGCCGAGATCACTTTTGCAGGGTTTATACTGGTATTTTTAGTCAATACTAATACTAGAAACAGGCAGATGAAGCCAGACAGGATGTAGCCTAGTTCAGGTTCCAGCTGACTGAAGCAAAAAAAAAAGTCTTGAATCTGTTTAAATTTCTGTTCCATTTATAAGTCTGGCACTGGTAGTTATAGATACCGTTAGCCAGCTACCATAATCCTTCTAAATCTGCCCCTGGCATGCACTGCAGCACATTCCAGGTTAAATGCACAAAGACTGTTCTGTCACCAAAGTCTTCCAAGGTACATTTACAGATGAGACTGAAGGCTCGATTGTGGCACAGGTACTAGGTTTTACCTAAGTTGCTCTGGTGTTGACAGCAGTTCATGACAGACTGCAATGTTTTTTAGGATAGGCTGAAAACTGGACTACCCCAGGGATCTGGGGGTTAATACGTACTCTGGGCGCTAGCCTGCACTTATGCCTTTCTTGCTGCCTCCAGCACCTGTACCATTATGTGTGCTACCTAACTTAAAGCTGACACCATAATCACTTTTTCATGTGTCTGTGTAGACCTGACTCTGGCTGCTAAAATTGGCAAAGCCTTCACTGAAGAGGAGACAGCAGATAGACACACACATGCACCCTCAGCCCCCTTGAATCCCTGTAAGAGAAGAAGAAGCTTGCAACCAGTAAAAGTTTTAAGACGAGTGAGTAAACTGACAAGACCTAAAGCAAGAAAAAATGAGTAGCATGTGCCATAGCCTGTATTATGTTAATGTGAGCACTGCCACCCCAGGAACTGGTGAGAAAGAGGTATAGAACAGATGCGGTGAGATTTGCTTTTTAGTGGTGGATAAAAATATATATCATGGGGAAAGAGGGATGGAGAGCACTGCTGATTGATGCCAAACTGGCCAAACTAGGGAATAATGGAAATGAGCAAAAAGGGAACAGAGGGAAAAGTAAAGAGAAATAAATTCTTTACAAGGAGAGTGGTTAGGCCCTGGAATGGGCTGCCCAGGGAGGTTGTGGATGCCCCGTCCTTGGACGTGTTCAAGGACAGGTTGGACGGGGTCCTGGGCAACCTGATCTGAATGTGTGTGTTTGGTGGCCCTGCTAGGCAGGGGGGTTGGAACTACATGATCCTTGAGGTCCCTTCCAACCCGGGTGATTCTGTGATTCTGTGTGATTCTGTGATTCTGTAAATCTTGCTGAGAATAAGGAAGGAAGGAATAATAGGAGGAAAAGGCTGAAGTGTATTAGATTGCAAAAAAGCTACCATATTAAGCACTAAGGAAAAGGGAAAAGGAAGGAGAACATACACAAACTGCTTGAATACTGCCTGCATTGCAATCCTGAGGACCTCAGTGTTTGTATGGGGTTTTGGCCCTATCACTGACTGGGATTTGAAAAGGTAGTTATTTGAGGTTTCAGAATGTCATATGAACCCCTTGTTAATACTTACAGAGATTAATAATCTTGCTTTACCTCCAGAAGTAGAAATTGACAATTTAAAACAATCTTTTTTCTCACTGTGGAACAATAGCATCCCTATTTCATTAATTATTTCATTAATATTTCATTAATAGTGTCATTCATAATAGA